TCAATAACAATTAAGGTTACTTATTTATTAAAACAATTATTGAGAAAGTATAAAAAGAAAATAAATTTGTATATGCTTTTTATTCATTTAGAGAATGCTAAAGTTCCTAGAAATTTATTATAATGGATTTAAAATAATATATATCTACTAATTTTATTGATGTTATAAAATGTAATCAATAGTGTTAGAATTATAGAAAGTGTCTAGTGAATTTTCTATTAGCATAGAACTTCATCGAAGATCCACGTTAAATCCTTACAAATCAATAATGCACAAACTTACCAATCATGTATGCTATAGACCTCCTAGGCATATATTTTATTTGTTAATAATATTGTTGTAGTGAAAGAAAATCTAAATAGAGTTAATTCTATAATTGAGTTATGTAGAAGTCATTAAAGCTCTTAGAAAAGGAGAACTAAGATCGAGTATATATTATGTAATTTTACTAATAATACAAATAAATAGGAGTTTGACGGATTGAAACCCTATTTTCATTCTTGTGATTGCTCGCTTCTCCTTGTAGTCGCCACCTCCTCTTCAGACACTTCCCCATCTCCTCTTCATCTGGTACCGTAGCTCCTCACTATCACCGCCACTTCAACGATGATTCCCTCCCTAGCGACCATAGCTCCTCGCTGTCGCTCCTCCCTGCATCCATGTGCAGCCCTCCGATCGTGGCATCTCTCCCTCCACAGCCGTCCCCATCAAGCCTCCTTAATACCCCCTCTCTCCTCCATGCTTCTCCCATTTCCTACTCTCCTTCCCACCTGCTATCTCTCTCCCTCCCCCGTAGCCGCCCTGTTGAGCTTCCATAATACCCCTATCCCCTTCCCTCCTCTTTCGTCCCTCTTGTTGTCTCTCCCCCTCCTTCGCCATCACCCCTATGGAGCGTCCCCGACAACACCCTCCCCATTCCCTCCTGCATGCTTCTCTCCCCTTCCCACAATCTCCTTCCCTCCTACTGGAGGAAGTTTATGCTGGCGAAAGGAATTGAAAACCAATCCCATGCCTTACATTAACTAGTTTATCTCTTTTATGTTTTCTCTTGTCGCTACTTCCTGTGATAGACTAGAATGCAAAGAATAACTAGAACTAGAAGACTTATGATAACTAATTGTTTAAAGTTGTGACACCTTTCTATTTCCTACATTTTTCAAGAAAGTGCTTCAATAAGAGTGCAACAACCATGAACTATTGAACAAGTGCTAGGTAATAAACCAAGCTTCCTGTGGCGGTAACTTAGGTAAGCAGGCATAGTAAAGAATATATGTACAAGTTATATCCACCAAAGGAAAAGGCTGTCAATACAAATAAAAGAATGGAGTAGAAAGCCAATTTTGAAAGAACACAGAAGAGACAAAGATATACTTTTCAATAAGCTACATAAAATGCATATGCCCATTTTATGACTAGAATTCATTTGGTCCCAAATAAATAGTGTAGAACAGATCACAAACTCACCTGTTTCCTGCAAAATCCTCCCTAGCTTCATCTACTTATAGTCGAAGTTCGGAATAGGTGTGCTAGGTTTATCAAAGCTCTCCAACACCTCCGTCTTGCTGCCACCACTTTCGCTCTTTGCCTCATTCTCTTGTTGTTTCTTCCCACCACCAAAGATCCCCCCGAACCAAGATGAAGAAGATGATGACGATGACAAAGTAGAAGAAGAAGAAGACGTCGTGCCGAGGGGCTCTGCTCGGTAAGCCGTCTGCTGGAACCCCAGAGTGGAAGCAGAGGCCGCGGCGGTGATATTGGGCGGGACGACTGGGGCATTGGGGTCCTCCAACACGGGGGGCAGGTTCTGGGGAGCGCTTAGAACGCGGTTGAGCATGATCCCGGCGCCCTCAATGAGGGCCAGGAGGATGCCACCAAAGAGAGCGGAACGAGCGGCGGAGCCGGGACCCTGGCGCATCTGGAGGAAGCCTCCGGTAGCGGCGCCGGCGAGAATGGAATTCCAGGGGTCCTCCTTCTGACGGAGGTAGACCATGGAGCAGTCGAAGGCAGAGAAGAGGCCGCCCCAGACGGCGAAGCTTCCACCGACGCGGGGGGCGTTCATGCGGACGGCCTGAGAGCCGCCGGCCAGGCGCTCGCCGTTCGGGAAGTTGTAGAGGCCTTTGATGAAGTGGAAGACAGAGCCCCCCACCGCGCCCATCGCGAACGCTCCGCCCACGTCGTCCAGTATCCGATCCGGGCACGGCTCCCGCGACGTCTCCGGCGTCCCCATCGCCGGCTTCCTCCTCCTCCGACCCTATCTAAAACCCTACCTCCGAAAAGAAACCCAAGGAAGCGGTTGTCGCACGACCGCACACCACGAATATATGACTACGGCGGTGAGCGAATCCGACCCGGTGATAGTATTGGACTGGGCCGGTTCGACCAAGACAGGTTCGGTCCAAGAACACCACGGCCGAGAAATCCAATCCTGAGAATATTATATTTTTCATTATTATTTTTATTTTGAAAAAGAAAAGTTCTATGTAGAGAATAGGCAACAACTGAAACCTCTAACTTATATGTTTTGTAAATGTTCTATAAATTAATTTTCTTTTTGGTTTTGAAATTTCCTGAAATTCTTAGGATCTTGTCTATGTTTTCCCAATTTTACAATGTTATATATATTTAAAAAAATTTTGAAACTATGATACTATGATATTAAAAATCTTATTTGGTTTGCAAAAAGACTAGTAAAGAATTAATGTATAATATGATTAACATTAAGCATATGAACTGAAAAGCACTCTTAGCTCAAATGTATTTATGAAGTGGACTTTAAATAGTTAGGATATTATGATTTTTATTTTTTTTTAGATAATTACTTCTTAACCAAAAAAGAAAATATATGGCTTGATAATGACTAAATGGTTCATGTAAATCGTTAAAAGTTACTATCATAATTTTTTTGACCCCCCAAAACAAACACCTTTTTTCTTTTGTGATTGTTCTCTCTCTTGTTGTTCTACCTATCTACCATTGAGAATGAAATAGTAATACTAATTTTATAAATAGGTATATGATGCAATAACATTAAGTATATAACATAATAAAATTAATATTTATTATCAATCGGCATGTGAAGCCTAATCACTAACACATGACTCCAGATCAATTAAGTCACGTAAGTCTTTGTTTCCCATCCATCTTTAGGCTTCGAGCAATTTCTCTATGAAGATTTCCTAAAGTTCTTAAGCAGAAACATCCAATCATAGGTCAGGAGAATTACATGTCGAGTGTTCTATAAAGCTGCATCCAGCAGAAGTCGTCAGCTCAGAAAAGACATGCAGCTTCATAAGGAGAAGAAGAAGAAGAGAGAGGAACCCATTAAGTCCTTGAGATAAGATCAGTTGATAAGAGTGAAAACATTACAAGAAAAAGAAGGTTACATGAGGCACCGATCCATCCACCCACACCGCCCAGTTAAGCCTGTTTCAACTGATGACAGACAGCTGAGGCACACAGCACCACTGCATTCTTCTTTCTTCTTCTTGAGTTGCCCATTCTAGTACACAGGCGATGTCGGCAAAAAAAAGCTGCTGCCATTAATTACCCTGTCTCCATTTGCCGCCTGTCAACCCCTCTCTCTCTCTCTCTCTGTATCCCCGAAGCTTTGGTGGCTGTGTCTACGTAACCGATGAAACGTTCCTCTCCTCTGAAGAAATAGCTGACAACTTGGGAGGACGAAGCCACAGTATTATGCATCTGGTTCCAGTATCCCCTCTGCAAACAAGCATTCTCTGTGAGCAGAGCAGAGCAGAGCATGACAGCTTTTTACTGGCTGCAATTATCCCCATTTTTTACACGAAAATATTTCGTCTGGTTATTCTAATTGATTCAATAAAAACCAGAAAGACAAAGAGTACTTGTCCTTTGCTTTTGCAAGGGTCCTTTTGTTTCCACATGCACATTACTCATTCTAATTGAAAAGGTTTTAGTTCTCTTGTTGGGTCTCATTCAAATTCAAGTCATATCAACTTTCCTGCGATGTTTTCTTCCATGTTTTACAGCAAAGTTTAAAGTACGTGCGGTGCTAGATTCTCGTCCAACACTTTGAATATAATTTCATCAGGAAAGCGGCAACGTAGCTGTTTGATAACCAAGCACTCACTGTGGAAGCTTGCGCTAAATGCAACGCATTGACTTGCTCTTGTATGTGAAGGTTGCAGGTTACAGGCACTGTGGGAAGATGAGGCATGTTGGAATGGAGATAGCTTGTCTTGTCAATGAGCCTCGCAGCTACTTTGCTTAGAGAGAGAGAGAGAGACAGAGAGAGAGAATCTAGCTTGCTTTAGACTGCGGACAAGAAAGATTAGGGCCATAAAGTTTGATGGGTACATCATTCTTACAAAACAATAGGAAGGGAACAAACTTTTGGTACATGACTTTGGAAGTCATCCTTGAGTCTGTACCTATTCCAGTAATATCTATAAGCCAAGCATCCATATGCTGGATTCAGAGTAAAAGCAGAACAATGTTACTTTTCTGCACCAGAATTCCTCAAGGCTTCAACATCCCTAGCCTTCTTCTTCCTTCTTCGGCTCCCATGGAATCCAAAACCATCCTGATATATGCAGTAGGATAGAGAACATAGACAGGGAAGAAACACAGCAGAGTTGGGAATTACTCGAGGTGTTGAAGGTCGACCTTCTTATGCATGCAGGAGATCATCCAGCACCATTTAATTATTGTTTCATCTGTAAAGATTCTTGGACTGGAGGCAACGTAGCTGCTTGATAACCAAGCAAGCACTTCAAGTAAGGCATTGACTTGCTAGTCTATGTTAAGCTTGCAGGTTATAGCTAGGCACTGTGGGAAGATGAGGCTTGTTAGAGAGAGCTTGCCTCGTCCATGGACGAAGCAGCTAGAGAGATGAGAATCTAGCTTGCTTTAGACTAAAGTTAAGGGCGCCACAGTTTGATGGGTACATCATCCTTTCAGAACAACGAGGGAACAAACGTTCGGTACATGACTTCGTACCTAATTCTATACATATTTATCAGCTAAGCATCCATATCAGAGTAAAAGTAGACCAATGTTACGTTATTGCACCAGAATTCCTCAAGGCTCCAACATCTTCCCTCTTTGGCTCCCATGAAGAGTAGAAGTGATCCATTAATACCAGCTCAAGCTCCAAACCATGGGGTAAACAGAAATGGAGAAGGAAACACAGCAGAGTTGAATGGTTCTCGGAGGACTGATGAACATGATTAGGATTACATCAGAAGATAAGACACTGCGATAGATAGCATTCGGTGACTTGAATTAGCAGAACTCAGTGACCAAAAAGAACAACCCAGATGTCGGAGAAAGCCTGCAGGATAAGTGGATGGAGATGGGAAGAGTTCAAGGACAGGTAGGACTGCAGCAGGCACTCCAAATCTTGGGCGCCGAAGATTTGCCGTTCGGTGATCATCTCCACCATGGAGCTGCGGAAGTCGTTGTAAGGATCGCTCGACCGCTTCACCACGGCGAAGCCTTTCTTCTCTTTCCTGCCTGCCGGAGAGCTGACGGAGAGCAAGCGCTGAAACCCCTTGCAGACTCCCCAAGCCTCGCGCTTCCTCCCTCGTCTTCTGTCCCACTGGGGTTTCTTTACGTTCTTGTTCTTCTTCTTGGACGTCGGCCTCTGGTAGAACTCGGAGGAGTCGGAGGAGAAGCTCCGCGATGAGAAGAGCATCTCCATCTCCTCTTCCTCGACTTCCCTTCCTTCGCTGCTAAAGAATCCATCTCCGTCATTGTTGCTCTCCATCGACGAAGAGCAGTTGAACCCATAGCTGTTGGACGCAAGCCTCTTCTTCTTCTTCTTCTTCTTCATCTTGACCACCTTTATCTCCTTCGTTTCTTCTTTCATGGCTCCATTAAAGCAGTAGTAGTAGTAAGAACTGTTCGAGGGGGAAGAAGGGGAAGACGGAGGGCACGTCCTCCCCTCCCACGCGCCGGTCTCATAGTACCCACCCGTCTCCCTAACTCTCCTCTCCTTCTTCCTCGCCTTCAGATCCTTCCACTTCTCATTCCTCATCATCAATCGAGAAGATTGCTCACACTCGACCGCACGCGTCGGCCGGCAGCCGCTGCAGACGCCCACCGTATTATGCCTGAGACGATCGTTCGGTACAGGGAAAGAGAGTGGACGACCGAGGCTGCGGTCTCGACGGCAAGGCACGAAGACGGGTTCAAGGACAGCATCGTCGAGGAGGGCCCGAGTAGAGGCGGTGGAGCTCAGATTGGTCGAGACGGAGGTGGAAGGCTTGCAGGAGGACCGGAACATGCGAGCGAGTCGTTGAGTGAGCTTACCACCACCATTCTTCTTGCTGCTTCTGTTGCTCTCCATGTCCTTCCTTCGCTCTCTGGTGCTCACATACCGAAAGGAGATGGTGTGAGAGAAGAGCGAGGGAGGTGCACCACCATTTATAAGGCTTGAGATATGGGGTTAGATGCGAGGGGGGAATCCATGATGGATATGGGGATCTTATATTATCGGCTAATAATTGTGGTCGGCATTTGGTGTGTCTAATGGGACTCAATATTTCATGAACTTGTTCAACGTGGTGGATGCTTGCAGCAACATGCGGGCCCTACCATCATTGTGAGATCAGTCCTCGCGAGGACACAGACTCCCTCGTAAGGGACAGATACATCAGTAAGTCTTCCTACAACGACGCGGCTTGTAGCTCGTTGATCCATCAACAGGAACAGGAAAGTTCAAGTAATCCTCTCCTGTTTGGCATGCTATCAACTTCAGCCTAATCTCTACGAAAACAACAATGAAAACGAAGAAGATACGAATGTTGGGTAGATAAGATCCATTTTCATGAAAGATGCGGCAATATACATTTCTTGAATAGACTATTATTCAGTATGGTTTATGCATAAATAAGAATGAAGATTAGGCAAATATGATTCACCCATTTATAGTCTTCAAATTTGGTCTAATAAATTTTATATCAAGAATATTAGTCCGTTGATGATGTATCAAAACCACTTACAGTTATTGAGAATTCGAAACCTCATCCGATGAATTTTTACTCGAAATATATTGGTCTGCTAATAGCGTATCATATTCACTTATCAAATGTTATGGTTTAAAATTATGTTTAATAAATTTTTATACCGAAAAGATTACTTATGTACCTCATCTATTTATAAAAATTGAGAATATAAAATTTTATTTGATAATTTTTATATAAAAAATATTGATTTAGTAGTGATGTGTCAAACATTGAGTGAGGGTTAAAAATCTTATTTTCATCATTTTATTTTTATTTTTATAAAAAAAATATATACAGCAGCTAAAAATACAAGATGAAGATTAGAGACCAAGTCTTGTGCAAGAAATATGGCAAAAAGGTTTTGTGATGCATCAACTGTCTCCCTTTTTATATTGCTAGGGGAGTGGTTGTGATTCATTCCACAAGGACTGTTGATGTTCTTTTGTCATGCTGTTCTTTCTCCAGCTAAATCTTTTCACCTATCACTACTCTTTCTTCAACATTTGGCAAAGGGAATTAATGTGAAAAATAGTATATTTGCCATCGATGGCTCAGCAAAGCTACTTTGATTTCTTGCAATGCACTCACCACGACTCCACTACACATTGACTGTGACAGATATATACTACCCTCCTTCATACTAAAGGAGCCTTACACTTCATAATGTCCAAAAGGTGATCTGCTGTCCACTTTCCTCAAAGTTGGATGTTCTTGAGCTGCATCACTGCCCAATTCAAGGCATGCCCTTGTCATTCATGTGTATTCCATAGATGGTTCACTCACACTGTAAGCAATGGGATGCTCTGCAAGTAAAAGTTTGAACTCTGCATAAAAGACATATAGCACCACCACATTCCATTTCATATGAGTGTTCATTTTCAAATGTCTATTCTTGTATAGATTGCCACAAATGAGCATGAAAACATGAGGCCAGATTTGCCATCCATGAGCTTATAGATATGAGATATGGATTTCATTAGCCAATTCAGCAGAAGTGCTTGACAACAGTAGGCTTGCTGCTGTTGTCCAGAACTCAGAAGGACAGAAAACTATTACAGCATGGATATCCATATAATTGGAAGTACAACAGTGAAGTGACCACTCCATTGACTCCCAAACATCTACAGTGCCACTTTCAGTGTTTTCCCAACTCAAACAGTGCCTTTGGACATTAACAAGCCATGAACAAACAAAATAGTTGGTAACTAACCCGAACTCCAAGCCCAACCATTGTCCTACCTCATGGGATCACACTATCCCAAGCACTGCTGCTGAATGCATCCAAGTTAGAGGTTGTGAGAGAAAGAGGGACTGATGCTATGTGTTTCTTCCTACCAAGTGTTTTTGAAATCCATGCAGCGAGGGAAGAGTGAGTGGACAAAGGCGGAGGTGAGCTTTGTCACCTCTCCTGTCCTTGTGGGCTCACTTCCCAATCACAAATGTCAGTTTGTCTCTGTCCATTGCCTGGCTCCAAACCCTTAGAGGACATGTGGCCCTTAGAAGATGAAAGAAATAAAAGAGCAAAGAAACAGAGAGGAAGGTTGACAAAAAAAATTTCTTTCATTTGATTAGGGGTTACTGATGGAGAATTTGGCGTATGTGGGGGATCTTTGTTTCTGACTCCCACAAAGGTCATTGGGATGGGCATGTCCCTCTTAGCTTGTGGGTTCAAAAAGCTCACCTGCATTGCAAGGAATGGATCCAACCATTTTAGGACACACAAGGGGGTAATCCAAGTGCTTGAGGACAAGCATGGGGAGGTCCTCCATGTTAGTCTCAATGTGGTGGAGGTTTCTACTTGTCTGAATTCAAAAATGGCCATGTATCAGTGCATACTTAGGTTTGTACATTGAAGGATTTAGTAGAGACAAATACTTGATGAACTTGTTTGTAGCAATTGGGATTGTTAATGTCCAATAGGTGGATCACAATTACCTTTAGATTTACAGGAGAACTCCATTAATATAATGAAAACTCTATATATCTGAAACAAACAAAAACTAATATATCTGTAATTTTGTACATCATCGTATCTTCTCTTTTGTGCTAGACATATTTTGTCATTATACAAATGGATAGTCATAGATGTCCTACAAACCAATCACGTAAGTGATGACACATGTCACTTAACACGTAATCTTTTTACTTATTATATTTTGATATTTATCATTTTATATTATTTATTTATTTATTTATTTATTTATTTATTATTATTATTATATATATATATATATATATATATATATATATATATATATATATATATATATATATATATATATATATATATATATATATATAT